CACAAATGATTTACGCTTTAAACCCATTCACTTATATTTCAAGGGCAAGTAATAATTAGTTAAATGGTAATCTTTATAGTGTATTATAATTCATTAATATAAAAGTCCTGGCGATTCCTAGTATAAAACCTAATAATTTTACAAGTTTGTTTTAGTTTGAAATAATTTTACACTGCTTCGATTAAAAATTTAATTACTCTTAACAAAACATTAATTTTTTAATTATTTGAGTTAATTAGTATTAAACATGAAAATATTAATAGTTATATTATGTTTATTTAATTCATTAGATGAATTTACGGCATTTGAATTAACACATGGATCATTAACCTACTTGGTCAAAGTTAATGAAATGTTTAATGGGATCAAAAAGCGACTTAAAGATGAGCTAAGTAAACATTGGCGGCTACTAACCGGCATTAATGATACTGTGGTTGTCAGTGATAATGATAAAAAGTATGTGGAAAATGAGCTATATACACTGGACGAGATGTTCACCGAGATATATTCGCTGTGGCTGTCTAAACAAACATTTTGCCTATTTTTCCAACCAAGTGAGACTAGCGCTCAGCGCCCGGAGACACTGGGTCCTAGTGCTAAAGGTTATGACATAAGGCTTATGGTAAATAATGTGAAGAATATGACAAAATTGGCCATAAATAAGGCTAAAAACGAGATTAAAATGTTGCGACGCGACGCAAAACTCGTGTTAACACGTGTTAAGTCATTGGACGCCCAAATCATGAGCTATAAGTCATATCAACGCGCGTTAAAAGATGCGTTTTTATTGACCATGGCTGATTTGCGTTATCGATTAGATAAACAACATGCTCTATTGAAATCATTGGTTAATAGTACTTGCGCAAATGACCATGATAATTATTATATTTACGAACATGAATTAATACTAATGAATAATTGGCTTCTAATGGTGGATGATATGGAGATGAATATAATGATGTGGGGTGTGTCCGATGATTTTATGTTATATAATTGTCCTAGCGCCTACGGCAAAGGTGCTGGATATGGCAGACATATTCTTACATAGATTATTGCAATTTGTTATTTTATTTTTAAAGAATTTAAATAATATATTACTTAATATTAAAGTATAATATTACTTTATATTTATTAAACTATTACTGTTATACTGATTAAATTATTTTTTGCTCAGGTCAACAATTCATGATAAAATTATATTTCGTGGATTTCAAAATATATTTAGCATTAATAACTGTAATAAATAATATCACTTTAACATGGTATTAATTTTATTCATTTATACTTGACTTTTGGGATAAAAAAGCATGTAATGTATACTTAACTTTTTAATAAAAATATAGCATTTGTTTTATTTTGTGTTGAATTCATCAATATTAAAAATATTAGGATATATTACAAGTGTTGATAATTCTTGAAACTTGATTTAATAACTACTAAATTTTATTTATTCATAAAATTATTTGATTTTTTATTGTGACTATTATTTAAAATTAAATTATTTTATGTATTAAATAAGTTTTCAGATTTTCCGAGAAAATAATGTAATATTTTGAAGAATGTTGAGATTTTACATTAAGATTAATTTACTTCATTTACCCATTTCACCTAATTTATGCAAAAAGCTTTTATGTAAATGCGATTATTTTTTGTTTTAATTGACATAAATGTAATATGTAATGAATTAAATAAAATATAGTTTGCAGACACATTAATTTTTTATACTATTTTATTATCTAAAATAAAAGAATTTTTAAGTTTAAAATTTTAATAAATTATTTTATGATAGAAAATTTCCATAAAGTTATTTAATAAATTAAATAGTTATATATAAGTTGTATAATTATATGTCTTGATTTATTAATTATATTTTGATTTACGCAGTCATTAATAAATTAACGTATTATTCAGTATTATTTATTATAATTGTACATTTATTATTAGACTATATTAAGTTATAATTATAAACTCAGCATGACTAGATTAATAATAAACGTTATGATATTAATACTTTTGTTAATTATTGCGTTATGTTTAATTGGTTTACTTGAAACACGTCCCACCTATAATGAATTAACAACCACTGAGACTTTAAACACCGAGGTTGAACAATTAACTACAATAAATACAATTGATGATGATACAACTGAGTTAGAAAACGAACCAGGTAACATGTTAAACATGATAAACATTAATTAAAATAATTAATATAACAATTATATGACAGATTACAACGACTATGAGGAAATAAATAAAAACGATACGTTAATTAATATACAAAACTCTGTTTACGATATCATAACCCATACAACGGATCATATGCTGGACCTGAAGGCAAAGGCGGACAACACTTACCACACAATAAAGGCATTGGAGGGCGAGTTGTCTCAACACAACTCAAATGTCCAAAAATTAAAATCAAAATTTTCAAACGTGAAGGAAGTGCTTAGGGATGTAGTAATGCAACAAAAGCTAATACTGACTGAACGTATGGTCAATACAACCGATGATAACACATCTGTATTGAGAGATGAAATTAATATTATTGACGAGATTGAGACGGAAGTGATTGGTATGGCTTTGATTAGGAGTTTTCGCAACAGTTTTTGCCACAAATTGTTTGATAGATCGGAAGAGGAGGTCCGGCCAGTTGTGGACTCGGATGGTCTGACATTTCAATATAGGACACTACTGTCTAGAGTGAGGAATAAAGTAAAAATAGCTGTCAATAACACAATACGTGATGTAAAAACACTTAAAAATAAGGCTAAACAAGTGTTAACACGGGTTAAGTCATTGGACGCGCAGATTATTAGTCTGAAGGCCTATCAGAGACTCATTAAAGAGATGTTTATTTCGCAGATTTTTGTATTAAAATTTGAGTTAAATAAACAAAACGATAAAATACTAATGCATTTGAAGAGCTCTGATAATAATGAACAGAATATTCTATTTGAAAACGAGTTAAATTTAATCAAAGATTATTTATGGCGAGCCAATGATCTGGAGCTACAGGCGCTGGATTGGGGTGTTAACAATGATTACATGTTTGGATTTTGTCCGGCATTATTAATATATGGTCGCGGAGATGGTTATGGTAAACATATTATCATGTAGATAAACATAAACATATTACAAATTAATATAAGGTCTCTAAAATCTTCTAATAAACACATAATCTCTTATATTTTAGAATAATTATCAAGTATTAAATAAAGATAATGATATTTCTGCAAACATTTAAAATTTGATTTTGTCTACATTTAAGTAATTTATTATATAGAATAAAACATTAAACTTTTTAATTAGTTATATTTATTAATTAATGTAATTATAAATTAATAAATAAATTATTAAAATTTTTATATAATTTTAAAATAATTTTACAAATTATCCTAATTAATTAAATTAAAAAATTGATTTTACGGATTGACCTCCATTTTCCAATTTTTCTCATTAAATGTTGGTAAAATTATATTATGTTATATTAATGTAAATGTTTACAGTTTGTTTAATATGTTGGATTTTAATATTAAATTATAAATAAAACTTATTTCATTAATGATTTATAGTTTTTAAATTAATTTTAATAAATTGGGTTTAGAAAGATCAGTGGTTATATTGTATTTTATTAAATAATATATATCATTAATAAAACACACTCATATTGTAACAATCAATACGTGTAAAGTTATTTTGTAATCAATTGTTTATTAATAATAAATTATTATTGTTAACATTTGTTTGAAAAAGTCCACTAATGATATTATCCAGTAAAATTCACAAGGAAAAAATTATGTTTTATGAGTTATATAATAGACATTTTAAAATTATGTAATTGCTGATGTAATTCAAAATTTGAGTTGGTGAAGATATTTATAATTTATCAAACATCAAAACTATCAATATGAATAAATTTTTTAAAAATATAACTGTTATTTTATTTATTTGTTTTAAATTTGAAGCAGTTATTAGTAAATGCAATGAAACTTTACCTGCAAACAATCAAGGTAATTATAAATTTAATTTAATAATTTAACTATAAAATAAACAAAATTATTTGTCATAGATCTACAAACAAGGCATGAAAATCATATATTACTTGACATACAAAACAGCATTCAGGAGATGATCAACAAAACCGATGACCGCATGAAAAACATGAAACAAAAAGCGGACAATACTTACGACACCATAAAGGCATTGGAGGGCGAGTTGTCTCAACACAAAGCAAATGTCCATAAATTGAAAACAAAGTTCGCAAACGTTATGGAAGTGTTTAGGGATGAGGGGGAGAGACAGAGGCAGATACTGACCGATCGGATGGACAATACCACCGCTGAAGACACCCCTGTATTGGAGGCTGAGATCGAGATAATGAATGACATATTGTTTGAATCACTAAATCTGGAGCTAATTAGGAGTCTTAGCGAAACGTATTGTAAGTTACCCTTTATTGTAGAGAAGGCTGAGCCCCGACCGGTGCTGGACTTTCGTGTCCTGACACCCGAAACTATGGCACTGATAGCCGAGGCCAGGATTAGGATGGAAATGGCCATAAATCATACAATACATGATACAAATATATTGAGAAATGAGGCAAAACATGCGTTAATAAGTGTGAAGTCATTGGACGCACAGATTATGAATTTGAAGGCTTATCAGAGAATTATTCAAGAGATGTTTATTTCGCATATTTTTGGGTTAAAATACGAGTTAAACAAACATAAAGATAAAATATTAATGCATTTAAAAATCACTTTCAATAATACTGATGATCCTTTGTTTAAAAATGAGCTAGATAAATTAAATGTTTTATTAATAAGAGCTGATGAACTAGAGCTACAAGTGCTGGACTGGGGTATGGAAAAGGATTATTGGTTAAACAGATTGTGTGCCGTTGGCCGCGGAGATGGCTATGGCAAACATATAATTACATAAATTACCATCATCAACTAAATGTAGTATAGTTATATTCTGATAAATATATTTAATATTTTTACAATTTTATATACAGTATATGTAAACTTTATATGTAGTACTATTATTATATAAATATTATAATATAAATGTATAAAGAAGTTACATAAAAATTAATGAATGTATTTTATCTAAAATTATGTATATAATTATTTAACAATGCATAATGGTTATGTTTCCTTTTTATTACTATTATTGTGTATTATGTTTATTAGATTTTTATTATTATTATTAATATTCCTCATGGTAATTCCAAATTGATATCTTATTTTCATTATTATGTAATCATGATTAAATATCTATGTATGATATTCTGCTTTAAATAAGAAAATAAATTACAACTTATAAACATTACGACATAATGTTCAAATAATTATTATTAATTTTATTCAATTATAATTAAATTAGTTTATATATTGCATATAAAACAACAACTTAATTATATATAAAGTTTTTAAACTATAATTATTTAAATAATTTTCATTTTAATTATTTTAAACAAACATTTATAATTCACACAAAATAAAATGTACTTAAACTTTAAATATTATTGTAAGTAAAATAAATCACGATAATCAATATTATTTTATTAATTAAAAATATAATGAATTAATTAAAATACATTTGTAATACAAATGAACATGTTAACACTAATTATTAAAAACTGTAAGTAATATCGCAAAATACACTAAACTATATTAATTATAAATTGTTAACAAGATTATTGGTATAACTACAAGTCACCGAACTTATTTTTGATAGTAATTTTATTTAATCAATTACTAAAAGCAAAAACTCATGTTTTAATTACATTTTTGGCATCATTGCCAACTTTGGTGACACCCATAACCCCCTCCCCATCGGCACAATAGCCGACAACCCGTGGATCCCAATCCAACCTCCAGTCCAGCGCCAGAAACTCCATGACATCCAGTCGTGACAACAGTACTGATAATGTCATCAACTCTTTGCGATAAACATCGCTATCATTACTATCAAAGCCCGCGACTAACGAGTATTTCTGGTCCATTAATACACTCTTTAGCTCTTGTATTGCCCGTAAAATCGCTTCTTTGGACCCTTTAAGTGACAACTTGTGGTCCAATACCTGTGCCTCCAATGCTTGCAAACGTGTCAACGCGTCGGTGGTGTTGGATATCAACCATTTCAGCCGCTGGTCAGCCCTTTTAAACGCAAATTCAGTCACATTTTTAACACCAATCAGACCTTCCCTGTATATCGATGTCGACACTCGTAACTCATCCGGATCTTCACCATCACTATTAGGGCTATCGCTTAGATGTTGACATAGATTACGGTCAATTAGCTCAAGTGTGTCGGCCTTAGTGATCCAGGTGTTTAGTCGCTTGAGCTGAAACATCAATAGTTTGTTACTCCGAGTTGTGCCCACTCTAGTGATGTAACCGTCGATGACATCCCTTTGTGTCAATAACTCATATCTGAGCTCTGCTTTAATTTCAATAAACATTTCGTTTACTTCTTCCCGATATCTAAGGATCCGTTGGATCTGATTCTGGATTCGGTCCAAACTGTACAGTGTATTCGTGGCCGACATTATCTCCCGCTTAATCACAGCTCTAGTATTATTCACTGCCGTCTCTGTCAGGTTGCTTATGGCCAACACCTCGAGGTTAGTTTGTGTTGTATTAATTGCTTGGTCCGATATTTTATCATCATCGTAAACTATTGATTTATATAATTAAATTTAATTTACATAATTAATTATTTATATTTTAAATTCAATTTGTATTAAATTTGTCATCAACTTTAAACTAGTATACATTTTATTTACCTCGCACCATTGCATGTAATTTATGAGTTAGGTTATTAGTTTCGGTTGTTTGTGGTATTACATTATCATTGATTGCACTTGGTGATTCCGTAACATTATTATTGTGATCAGTTAAATTATAAGAATTACATGAACACGTGTAATATACTAACAATAATGCTTTCATAAAAATCATAATATATTTTGTTAAGTAAAATTAATTTTAATTTTATTATTTACACAAATATTTTAACAGTTTAATAAAATTTAACATGAATATTATGTTAGACCTTCAATCAAATATTATATATAATTATTATTTCATATAAAATAACAATTTAGTTTTCATATAGCTTAAATAATATCCATATAAATATGTAAACTTGTTTTGTATTAATTCTGACATTGAATTATAATTGATATGTATTTAGAGTTTGATTAAAAACAAATTATATTTCATTATTTAAGTTTTAATAAATATATCTAAACTAATTATTCAATAGAAATTAATAAAAAATAAAATATTGTTTAAAATTTATTTCAAACGTGTTTTAATTAACAATAAAAGTAAGAAATTTTTACATTAATATGTTGACTACAATTAGATGGTGGATTTAAGTTTATATAACATGTTAATATTTCTTATAACTAAACTACGTATAATAAACATAATAATCAGTTATTACATCTTCATACTATTAAACTATCAGTTACTAAACTGTAAGAAATATAGTATTTTGTATTAAATAATAATTCAACAAACAAATTATGATTAAATTTGGCAAAGCCCGCAGAGTGTTTTATTTACATTTACAATTATCTAAACAATTTAGTAAAATTTTACTAAATCAATAATTTTATTTAAAATATTCGAAACAAATGCTGATACAACTGTTTTATTCTAATCAAAAATTTGAACATAGTTAATATGATTTATAATTTATAAAATACATTTTTATTTGTAAATTAATGTTACCATTGTCTTTTCATAAAAAATGACTTATTGTTAATAATTACATTGTAATGTTAAATTGTAAATTACTAATTGAAAAAGTGTAATCAATATTATAATATGATTTAAATTATAATTCCATAAAATAGAAATTATATATTTAGAACTAAAGAATCACATGTATTTTCAATTAAATTATTTTGACTGGATGATATTGATAATGAATTATAGTTAAAATTGTATAAATTTATTTATAATATTTAAAATTTTATTTATCTGAAATAATTAATTAAATTCATTTTTAGTTTCAAATTATTGTTCCTTATATTGTTTGATAAAAACTTGTTAATTTACTAAAATAATATTTCATAAATATTATGAAAAAATTGAATGATCCTTTAAACCTTCTATCATATCAGTATTAAATACAATCAAATTAATTTTAAAAATACAAATATTTCTAGATTAATGTACAAAAATCATATAATTTATAAAATGACTTTTACAAACTACATTGTAAACTTCGGGATTGAGTTTAAAAACTTGTTACTTTGTTTGTAAAGTCATAAACTATACGTAAAGTTATTATAATTTATTTAAAATTAAACAATGTTTCTTTAATTTTTTTTAATACAGATATTTCTAGATTAAAATACAAAAATTAGGTTGGTCACTGCTTCGCCAGTATAGAACATCAATTGGTTCTATAATTATCGTGGATTTTATTCAAATAAATGTTTACAGTTTATTTTAGTGTAAATAGAATAGAATTTATAATTAGTTACTTTTTATAAATTGTGTAATATAAAATTGGTTGTAATAAAATTTTATTTTTTACGATTAAGGTTTTACAAATTTTAAAATAAACCAGATTAATAACGATTATAATTAAAATATTATCTCTAGTTACTCAACGTGTTAAAATAAATTATTTTGAAAATTTAAACATTGTAAACTTTAAAAAAAAACTAAACTGTAATTAATATCATAACGTACATTAGATAATAATCTTAAACAAAATAAGTTATAAACTTGGAATTCAATTTTCGATTACATCCACAAATCTCTGACTTAATTAATAAATTTAATTAATTTTTACTAATTTATTATTTCAAATAAAAAACATTTGAGTGATAGTTTGAGGCACAACAAATATTTTAAAAACGTTTATATAAATTATATAATATTAAAAAATTAAAATTATTTTTATAACTATTTTTAATTATAAAATTATCACAATATGTGCTAGATATTGTCAAGCATATTGCTTTAATAATAAGCACTCACTTTATACGTGTCACCTCTGTGTAACATCTATCACATATAAAGTGAGTGCTTATTATTAAAGCAATATGCTTGACAATACCAAGCACATACATACATGAAATGTTCGGGCGGCTACCGTAGTTCAGTATATGGCTATTAGCCGGTAAAAATGTTACTAATTTACTTCTATAGCCCTAAATTATTATCACATCGGCATTAAATACAATTATCTCTCGGGCAGATGTGGCATGACGCTCGCCAGATTAGAAAACCAATAGTAATAAAATAAGTATTTATATTATTAATATAAAACATATTTTAAAATATAAATTAACTTTTATAATTGTGTTTTAATTCAATTTTTACTTAAACTAGTTTATTTGTATTATAATTAAAGTTAAATTTGAATGAGTTGAGTTTATTCCGTTTAATTAAGTATTAATATTAAATATACGTTTTTAATTTGATTTATTATTATAATAACAGTTCATAAATTTATGTAAAAAATAGGGCTTTTTAGAAAACTTTATATTACTTTCTACAAATCACATTTATTAGGCTTAATCGCTCGCTAAAATTTAGACATTGTAAACTTTAAAATAACTAAACTGTAATTAATATCATAATGTAAATTAGATAATAATCTTAAACAAAATGGGATATAATGTTGGAATGGTTGGCACTATACTGCACCCCCTGCACCCCTGCACCCCTAAATCTTGGTAAGTATGCATAAGTTGGGCCTGCATCCCCATAACTGCACCTCATTACTGCATCCAACAAAATTTAACAAAGTTTATTTTACAGTTTAAATTTATAAATTGTTTAATCACAATTATGACGTTTAAACTTAAAAGTTAATTTGTAAATTTAAAGTAATGAATGCAATTTAATGTTGTTAATTATGACAAGTTTCTAAAACTGTTTATTGGATAAAATA